TTTTATTTGTTTTATCAATAATTTGTTGAACTTGTGAATTAGATTCTTTTTGATCAATATTCAATAAATAATAAATTAAAATTCTTTTTAAAAGAAGAACATTAACTTGAGATATTACTTTCATTCTTTTTTGTCTAACTGCAAACTTTATTATTCATTGTTTTAAGTAATTATAAGCTTGTTCAAATTCCTAAAAAGTTCTTAAAGACACTCTTCTAGATAACTCTGATGCATAAGATGTAATATCAACATTATTAATAGTTTTATAACATGTGCTTATAAGCTTATTAAAAGTGTTTATTTGCTGTTCAATTTGTTGTAAAGATGTTTTCTTATCTAAATTTTGGTTATTAAAAATGGTAAAAGGTAAGTGTGATACTTTCTGTAATAATATAATTTGCTTCCTAATATTATTAGTTTCAATTCCTAATAGAGCTTCTTGAATGTTGCTACATTTTTCTAAATATGAATCTAAATCATGTGCTTCTTTAATTAATGAATAATAAAATTGAGTTAAAATTGAGGTAGAATTTTGCTATACTATAATTTTTAAAGTTTTTAAAATGTTTTTATAGTATATAGACTTAGATATGCCTAAATTTGTGTTATAAAAAGGAGCTACAACAGGAAGGCCAGCTTCTAATAATCAAAACTTATAATATAAGTTTGCAACTTTCAATTTATTTCCTCTTAAAATCTGATTTTCAAATATTTAATAATCTATCAAAAAATCTAATAGACTTACTGGGCCAATCATAGCATCTTCTAAATCCACAGGTACAAATTTTGGAAATTGAATTTTATTCGCTAATTCATTGATGTAAGTATAATTAATTGGTTTCAATGTAACACTTTCTGTTTGATTTTTTAACACTGCCTTGTTTTTTTTGGAATAAATTTTGATTTTTGTAATATTTAAATCATAAGAAGTTAAACTTAATATTAAGCAAGTACTAACAATATTAGAGTAAATTTCTTGATTTTCATCTGTTTTTAAATGCTGACTTTTGGTTACTTTAAATGTAGATATTGATAGACCTAAATATAAAAAATATTTAGCAAAAAATAAAATAATATGTTTTTTAATAATAGTTATTAGTTTATGATTGCCTGCATATCTATCTTCATTACCTTTATTATATCTATCATTTGCATATTCATTTTCATTATCTTTATTATATCCATCATCCCAAACATCTTTCTCTTTGTTCATATTTCCTATTTAGAATTATATTAGTAATTTATTAAACAGATTAAAATATTTTTATTTATAAATTTTTATGCCTTTATTTGAGATACTTTCAGGTGAAAATACATAAAGTTCTTCATATTTGACTTGATAAATGCTATAATATTTATAGGGATTTTGGCTTACTTTTAGTATAATATCTATTCTATATGAAACTTCACTTGCAAAGGTTAGATTTTCTTCAGCTCCTAATTTTTGATAACAAAACTTTTTTGACTGTTATTCATATATATTATTTCAATTTCATTTGCTAAAAACTAAACACATTTAATATAGTTGTTCACATTGTCATGGTGAAGAAAGATATGCGGTGTATCTTGTAAGGGGAATGGATTTAGAACGCTGACAGAGTAAGTAATTAATTAAGTTAGTAAAAAAAAAAAAAAAAAAAAAAAAAAAATGTGTGTGTGTATACTTAGCTTAAAGAAAAGGGGGGGTATCAAACGTTTGTTGAGAATCGTGTCCACGTGACTGCGTGATGATCATGATCGATCGATCGGGATCAAAAAATTATGTACTACAAAAGATCGGTTTTGCATGAATCGGTGCTACTAAGAAAATAATAAGGCGTAGTATGATAGCGAATATGCATAAAATATGTAGTCAATTTGAAAGTCAAAGATAGTATATGAAATTAGCCGTATAGTTAATTTAAGAGTCAATCGATCATATGATCAATTATGATGTAATTAATTTAAAGTAAATAAGATATATAAGTAAAAGTGAAAATAAAGAATAAGAATTCCAGAGAGTTTGGAGTGAATAAAGAAAGGAAAACCCAGAAAAGGACAGTGATACCTGCATAGTTCATTGTATTAAACTTGTCTTGGATCAGATTCATTGGTCGCTTCCTACCAGAGTTGGATCGTAAGTGGCGCAAGTCATTTATTAACCTGCGACATGAGAAACTGGGCAAAATATTCAGTATCTTACCATACCTACATAAGATTTCTTTAAGCTAATATCCTAACAAAATGAAGCAGAAATCCTCATGCTTGGCAGAATAACATCAAAGGCAGAACTATTTCGATCAATGTGCAAAGTACAGTAGATATTTTGTTTAAAACATAACGACTGTTGTGTACTGAATAGCTTCAGAAAAGTTGTGCTTAGGAAGTATAGTAGAGATATCTTGAGATCTTGAAATCAGGAACCCCAGAAATAACAAACTACTACTAAAAAAGAAAAAAAAAAAAAAAAAAAAAAACACATAATACATACAGTAATAGAAAACTCTATGTCAAAGGATTTAACGAAGCCATTCTTTCACGAGGAAAGCAAAGATGACATTGATGGATTCCTTTTTGACTATGAACGTTTCGCAAAGTCGAAGGGATGGGATGAGGAGACACAATGTGAATGGTTGTTATGCACATGCTGGAAGAAACCAAACTCTGGGTTCGAGAGCTGATAAGAACTAAAAATCAATGGGCGGATTTAAAGGATGCTATAATCAAGATAATAAATGCTGAGAATGATGATAGAATAAGGATAAACTGGTTGAGGACTATGAGGCAAGGTGAAAAAGAAACAGTAAGGGGTTATGCAAGCAGATTTGAAGCATACGTAGACACAGTAAAAAACAAGGTAAGAAGTTATGAATAAAGGGACTGGTTCTTAGACGGTCTATGTGAACCATATCGGTCTAAGGTGGAGACATTCTGTCCAACAAGTTATGTCAAGGCAAAGGATTGTGCGCTTCAAATCGAGACCTTCCAGAAGGATAGAGAACAATATGGGGACAGAAAATCCGTGCCAATAGTAGAAGAAAAGTCTCAATCAATCGACACAGACATTGATAACATTACGGCTGCACTCAGAGCTTTAACGATTAATCGTGTAAAACAGGAAACTAATGAAGTTAGTAGAATTGACAAAATTGAGGCTGATGTGAGAGAAATGGCAAGGGCAGTAAGACAACTTACTGATAACCAGGGGTCAGATGGTCACTTTAATTTTAGGAACCAAGGGATGATGAGGAATTCAAGACTGTATAATGGCATTCGGCAATGTTTTAATTGTCAACAGGAGGGTCATCTTTCACGCAACTGTCCAAATCGAGGTCAACAAAATCTACCCATTGAACAAAGAAAGGAAAGGAATAAGAACGTTAAAATTAGAGGAGCAAATATTAGATACTTTGAGATTACCTTAACAACAAATAATCCAGGAATCGAATGTTTGAAAGTTGAAATGGTGAAAGGGAAGTCTATATTTGATATCCGAAATTGGAACCTACGGAAGAGAAAGCGTATCGATGAGCATGCAAGAATTGATGAAATCGAAACTGAAAATAAGGAAAAGAAGGAAACAGTTGCTGGAACAGGAACTAACCTTAATGAGCCTGGTAGTTTGAGGCCTGTGATGTATATACTATTAACGGAATTAAGTCAGGAACTCGATATTCTTAGAAAGATTGCTGAGATGGAAATAATGTTAACTCTTGGTCAATTGTTTAAATGGTCCCCAAAAGTCTGGTCTGAGGTGTTGAAAGCGTTAACTTGGAAAAAGAAGGAAAGTGATATAGTACTGTTAGATACCAATGTTAGTATTGTTCATGCAGTTCAGAACACAAATATGAAGCAATTTGGGGACGTTCCTATGAATGATTTGTATTAATAGAGAAAGAACTGATGCTCTGATCGATCCTGGATCACGTGTGAACCTCATTCATGAAAGATATGCAAAGGAAGAGGGTTGTCTTGGAGGCCAGTCAATGGAAAAGGAAGGATGACTGATGATAGTGTTAGTAGTTTTCTGGGTTATATTCCGAATATGGAGGTTAACATAGAGAGAATAAAGATGAATCAAGGGTTTTATGTCATGAAGTCCGCCAGTTTCGATGTATTGCTAGGTATGCCTTGGATGGCTGCTGCTAAATGTGACCTAAAATGGAGAAATAACTGGTACTGGTGCTCAGTTACCTCAAAACATAGAGAGGTATCGTTTGTTGCTACCACTGTACCTGAAAGTTTGGTGAGTTTTTAGAATGACACAGATAATGATGAAGAATTCATAGAGAATGAGGAAGAAATTGAAGTATTATCAATGCGAAGGGTTCAAGTAGATGCAGTCGAAATGGGTAAAATGAACAACGAGCATATAAATTTGATGAAAGGAGCCAAGAATGGCAAGCGTTTGATGATACATGAGGTTGAAGCGATGGACGATGATCACTAGGAAGATACAAGAAGTTGTGGTCAAGTTATCTATTGGACAACAAATCACGAGGATAAGAATGGTATTGTTGATATGCAAGGGCTGGAGTTGGTGATGCAACTCACTAGGGAAAATAGTGGTGTGATAGATATTAATAAAGAAATATTAAAAGATATTAGAGATTATGTAGTTAAGCAGTTAATGAAGCATGTTTGGAGGTGTTTGCTTTTGATCTCTCTGAGATAGAAAAGACGAACTTAATTGAATATGAGGTGAGAACAGGCGGGAAGGTTATACCTGAAAATAGAATGAGACCCATTCGCATCAATAATCCTGAACGAGCCATACTGTTCGAGAACTAGCTTCGTGAAATGGTTAAGTATGGCTTGTTGGAAAAAGGGAAGGGACAGTATGCATATCATTGTTTCCCTGTAAAGAAGAAAGAGGGTGGGACTGATGAGTTTCGAGTTGTAGGTGATATGAGACCTCTGAATAAGTATATTGTAAAGGATGGATATCCATTACCCATAATTTGTGATATATTGGAAATGGCAGTCGGTCATGATTGGTATTCGTCGGTCGATGCATATAAAGGGTATTGGAAAATCCGGATTCGGGAGGAAGATAGAGATAAAGTTGCAGTTGCAACTCTAATCGGACTTCTAAGATATATGGTAATGTGTATAGGATTAAAGAATGCTAGTGAAACGTTCCAACGTCTAATGGACATTGTGTTGGAAGGAGATGAATGGCGTAGTGTTGTAGTGGCTTACCAAGATGATGTTGGAATATGGACAAATGGGTCAATTGAACACCACGTTGACATGTTTGTAAAGTTGGTATGCAGGTTTAAAGAGGTCAGGTTGACATTTGCAGCAAAGAAGTGTCACCTCCTCTATAAGGAATTGAATATATACAGGTTTGTAGTGAGCAAATCGGGAATACGAGTAGATCCAAAGCGAATTAAAAGAATAGTAGAATGGAAGAGTCTTGACGGTCTTGCTGAAGTTCGGTCATTTTTAGGCATGATGAACTACTATCGATGATTCATAAGAAACTTCAGCCATGTGGCAAAGCCGCTAACCGATCTGACGAGACAAAATATTGGATATCAGTGGGGCATTGAACAAGAGCGGTCGTTCCAGGCTCTCAAGGAATTATTGTTAAAGGATGTTATGTTGAAAGCGCCAAATTGGAAGAAGGCCAAGAAAGGTGAATGTCTATATCAAATGTTCACCAACGCATGTGATGTGTCTCTGGGGGTCATTTTAGAGCAACATAATGAAGAAGGTCGGTTGCATTCTGTAACATTTGAGTCCAGAAAGTTGAATGAGCATGAGGTCAATTATACCATAACAGAAAAGGAATGTTTAAGTATCTTGTTTGGTTGTAATGTGAACAAGCGATATATAAGAAGAACTGTGTTTGATGTATGGGTGGATCATTATGCGTTAGAGTGGTTGTTCAACAAGGCGATACTTAAGGGACGGCTTATGCGATGGATTTTGGCTCTTCAAATGTTCGATTTTCGTGTGCGATACAAGTCTGGAAAGATGCATAGCAATGCTGATGGGATCTCGAGGTATCCAAATTTCTCAGAACAACAAATCTCTACAGATGATGAATATGTTGGAAATTTGTTAATGTATGTAGTTACCAAAAATCAGAAACTGAATGACCTGCATACTATAACATGTTATCTGAAAACATTTCATTGGCCAACTCACGTGACAAAGACAGACTTAAGGCGATTGAACCCGAAATTAAGAAGATATTGTTTACTGGATGGCCAATTATACCAACGATCCGTCAAGGGAAAACCGCCACGTAGGGTGATTTTCAAATCTGAAGATAAAGACATGATAGTGAAGGCGAATCATGAAGGAATGGTTAATGAAGATGGGCATAGAGGAATAAATAGTTGTGTTAGAAAAATTTTAATGAACTATGAATAGGCATCAGGTGATCTGTACAAGAATGTGCGAAATCATGTGATGTCTTGTATGGTGTGTCAAAAATGCGAATTCACAGTGCCAAAGGAACCTATTCACCTTGTAGTGACGAGCTGGATTTTCCATCGACTGTACATAGACTGTATAGGACCAATGCATAGAACAAGTGTTGGACACGAACATATTGTTATAGCAGTAGAAGATTTAACAGGGTATATCGAAGCGCGTGCTCTCAGAAGGAAGAATGCGAAGAACATTGCTCAGTTTATATGGGAGGATGTAATCACTCGGCATGGATGTTTTGCGGAATTAGTATCCAATAGGGGTACAGAGTTTAAGAATATTATTATGAGTGAACTTACTGCTCGAATGGGCATTGATCAAAGATTCGCAGCAAGCTACCATCCTGAGGTGAATGGAAGGGCTGAAAGAAGCATGCAGAAGTTGACCACGGTTTTGTGTAAGGTATGTGCTGAAAGGCAGAATCAGTGGAACGAATATCTTCGAGAGATAGTTTTGGCAATCAATATAACAGTTGGTGAACCTGGTTACTCTCCTTTTCAACTTGTGTATGGAAGAGATGCAGTAACACCTCTAGAATTGACCATCGAAACATACCAAACATATGTGTTGAAAAGGGCGTGGACCACCGAAGAGTTGTTGGAATTCTGTGTTCTACAAATGAGAATCTATGTTATGAGTTAAAGGATGTGCAAGTGAATCGTGATGAAATGAAGGAATGCTGGAAAGCCTTTTATGACCAACATAACCGTTGTTGTAAAGAAGTGATTGCTGTGAACGATATGGTCTTGATGTATGACTCTACTTTGAAAACTTCTTTGTCTCGAAAGCTTGATTATCGATGGTTAGAACCCTATTTAGTTTGAAAGATTGGACGCCATGGACAATTCTACCTTGCTGAATTGGATGGTACCGAGTTAAGAGACCCCTATACAAGGGAAAGAGTTAAAAGACTTTGTCAATTAAAGGGAAACATTGCTGGAAAAGAAGAAAGAAGCGATTGTGACTTCGAGGATGAAGATCACAGGGGAGTTAGCTCGTGTCATGGTGAAGAAAGGTATGCAGTGTATCTTGTAAGAGGAATGGATTTAGAATGCTGACAGAGTAAGTAATTAATTAGGTTAGTAAAAAAAAAAAAAAAAAAAAAAAAAAAAGTGTGTGTGTATACTTAGCTTAAAGAAAAGGGGGGGTATCGAACATTTGTTGAGAATCGTGTCCACGTGACTGCGTGCTGATCACGATCGATCGATCGGGATCGAAAAATTATGTACTACGAAAGATCAGTTTTGCATGAATCGGTGCTATTAAGAAAATAATAAGGCGTAATATGATAGCGAATATGCATAAAATATGTAGTCAATTTAAAAGTCAAAGATAGTATATGAAATTAGCCGTATAGTTAATTTAAGAGTCAATCGATCATATGATCAATTATGATGTAATTAATTTAAAGTAAATAAGATATATAAGTAAAAGTGAAAATAAAGAATAAGAATTCCAGAGAGTTTGGGGTGAATAAAAAAAAGAAAACCCAGAAAAGGAAGGTGATACCTGCATAGTTCATTGTATTAAACTTGTCTTGGATCAGATTCATTGGTCGCTTCCTACCAGAGTTGGATCATAAGTGGCACAAGTCATTTATTAACCCATGACAACATTAAATAATCTTGCCAAGTACAATAAATGCATTAAATTGTTGGTAATGAATTTTTAAAAAAAAATTAGAAAATTAATAAAATTAATAAAATTAATATAAAAGATAATTAACATAATGTAATACTCAAGTTTTGTAATAAATAAAATTAAAATAGAAATAAATAAACCAAAAAATAGAAATTTAAAA